GACTGGAGCAGTAGGTAGATAACCGACCTTTGGTCTAGATCATAGCTTGGATACATTGCTTTCCTTCCTCTGAGTTGTTAGGTACATTAAGACAGAAAATACAAATTTGCAGAGCTCCCACTGTTGGCAGAACAATGGCATATACGACAATATCTGATTTCCAGAGCCCTTCTTAGGTATCATACTTCCAAAGGGTTAAAGTGGCAAATAATGCCACATTCTAGCACCTGGGAGCCAAGCTGGGATCTTACATTCAAAGTCAGGTTTTTTAGTCAAGATGGGTGTATGTTTTTAATTACATTTCAATCAAGTTAAAATGTTTTTTTTCTTTAAACTATTCATCCTCAACCATAATATTTAAAAACAAAAATAGGCTCTATGAAATATTTTCTAGAAATATATGAAATACGAGTAAACTTGTTTAGTAATATTTATTGCTCAATATCCTTAATCATTTACACCTTTAAAAGAGAGAAGGAGAGTTTTCCAGTGTGTTTATCCTTGAACTCTAAACATTTTGGTTCCTGCCTTTTTAAGGCAGCCCCAAATCCAGAGAAAACAAGGACGATGAAGAGAGTTATATAAAGAGTCAAAAACCAGTTGCAGTCAGAATACTTTCAAAGAATTGTGTATGAAATTCTAAGGAGAACTGAGAGACAGCTATGTACATTTAATTTAAATCACCAGTGCAAGTGTATATGAGAGAATAATTAATTTGAAAAATTCTATTAACAACGTCATTCAAGAGCCTGAAATAATCAATGCATGTTGGCAAAACTTATGAAAATAAGTTTTATGAATTTATTCATATAACAAATGTTTATTGAGAACTCATTTTATGCCAGAAAAATTCCCTGCATTCATGAAATTAATATTAAATAGTAAAAAACTATATACATCCAAATAAAATATATAATAGGTTGGCTGGTGATAAGTGCTAAATAAAACTTTATTTTATGTAGTAAAATAAAGTTGCAATGGTGTGTCTGTTAGTTATCTATTACCACAATATTGCAGCATTCAGCAATAGGTGTTTATTGCACATGCGTCAACTATGCTGATCTGGCTGGGGTTGGCTGGCTGTAGGATGATGAAGTTGATCTCAGGTGAGATGATTGGGGCAACTCAGCTCTAATCCACGTGTTTCTCAACTTCCGGGAGGCCAGTCTGAGCAGGTTCTCAGGGACTTGGAAGGGGTGTGAGGGAGTAAATGCAGACAGTCAAGGTTTCTTGAGACCTAGACTCAGAACTGGCACACTGTCACTTCTAATTCATTCTACTGGCTAAAGAAAGTCATATTATAGAACCTAGACACAAAGAACAGTGTAGGTCATCCCAGCCACTAGGAGAGAGAACTGGAGAGTCAAGAGTAAACAGTATGGATACAAGGAGAGGTAAAAAAGGGGCCAGTGGTACATTTACAGTGTGGAGCCTACTTGAAAAGAGTGGTCAAGAAAGAGGTTATTGATCTCTTTGATCCAATTGATCAGACACCTTAGGGAGGTGAAGGGGTGAGCCACTGGGATATCTAGAAGAAATACTTCAAGTGAAATGGCCATGAGGCAGAATGGAGAAAATGAGGGGAAGTGGTAGAATACGAGGTTACAGAGGTGGTAAGGGAGGTGAATTGGAGCAAAGATCCTTCAGGGCCTTGTAGGCCCTTGAAAGATCTTTGATTTTACTCTAAGTAAGATAAGAAGCCATTTAAAGATTATGAGAAAAGGCAAAACATAATTTAATATTTAGGGGATTTACTACAACTAACGAAATGCTGGGTAGACTAGTGGTTGTCATGAAAATTGAAAGATTAATTGAGAGCCATAGACAGATATGCACTTATAGACAATAAGAGGAATTGGTAAATTCTACATGTACAATCCTATATACAAAACTATGTATATAATACCTTAAAGGAAATTTAATGGTTATTGAAGGTAAAGTGATTTACAACCTGCTTATGTTGAATTTAGAAAATAGCCCAGCTAAGCAAAGACTTCACTATAGCTATGACCTTGGATGTATTACTGCTGTTAATCATGTGTTCCATTAACAGCCACTCTCCAAAATATCAGGACTAAGCTATTAAAATAAGTGTGGGATGATGATGGCAGTTATATGAATAACTAAAGCCAATATATTTTGAAGCTCACGGAAGAGGAGGGACTTTTAGTACTTGTCTAAGATCCAGCTTGGCTTTTACTGAATGCGTTGCTTTGAAGCAAATATTTTTATGAAAAAATGTATGATATGGGTTTATATCAATGGTAAATCTTGACTCATAGATAAGTTTTTCTTTCTTCAAATAGAAAATATAGGCTAAGCAAAAAATATCAACAAAATCACAGATATTGCTAGTATACAGGTGACATAGTAAGGCTCAAGGAAACTAAAGGTTATGTGGTTAGAATCCATGTTATAGAAAATAATTTGGCTTGTAATAAATTGACTTATTTATTTACAGTCCACCTCCTTTCACAAGAGACTTGAGGTTTCACGTAGACTTGAGACAACTCAGCTAGGAAATGTGCAATTATGGAGAAAAGAAAGAACACCTCATAAGAGTAACTAAGATATAATGTAAACTTGAATTTCAAGTCTTTTTACAGATATACCAAGTGGTATTTTTTTCTATAAAAGCTCTTTTCTGGGTTTCTCAAGGTTGTCTTGATATTTGAAAGAGAAATTAAATTTGTTCTGCATTTTCCCAAATTGGATATTGAATAGATGGTACACACTGAGATATAGATGTTAATACAACTTCAGGGAAGCCTTGAAATCGTGTCCAGAATATCCTGCATTCAAAGCTGAGATAATAATTCTCCTTAATGAAAATTGAGAAAAGTAATAGAAAAGGAAAATATTAAATTTCAGTTAAAAATATATAGTTAAAGCTCAAATTCCTACTCCATAGAACAACTACACTTTTATAAAATAGAATGAAAACCAAAAATGCTTCTGGAGAAGGACAATGGAAACTGGATTGCTCTTTGACAGTAGTTCTAGAAGAAAAGTCACATAACCAGTTGATTTGTCTACATATAAAGTCCTGGCTGGTTGACAAAATATACTGAGTTAAAAAAAGATTAAAATGTTATCATTAGAGTATACTTGAAGTTTTTAAGCTGTTCCATTTAAAAAATCACTCAAATTATTTTAGATGACATTATTGTCTTAGTCATTTGGGGCTGCTATAACAAAATACCATAAACTGAGTGGCCTATAAACAACAGAAATTATTTCTCACAGCTCTGAAAGCTGGAGGTCTAAAATCATGGCGCCAGCATGGTCAGGTTCTGGTAAGGGCTCTCTTCTGCATTGCAGACTGCCAAACTGCTGTCTTCTCATTGTACCCTCACATAGCAAAAAGGGAGCTAGGGAGATCTCTGGGGTTTCTTTTACAAGGGTAATAATCCCACTCATAAAGTTCCCACCCTCATGATCAACTTACCTCCCAAAGACCCCATCTTCTAACCATCACTCTGGGGGTTAGGATTTCAATACATGAATTGGGGGGAGGGGAACAAACATTCAGTCCATAGCATTTATGAAACATGTTAATTATTTTTCAACGTTTTTTTTCCACTGATGAGAAGACTGTCACTCAGCCAGGTAAAGTAACATATCCAAACTCCCTCAGCTAAAAAAGTTTAAAAAACGTACAAATCTAAGGTTCACAAAATGATCTGACTTCAAGGCAAGGGCTTATTATACTGTGCTTATTTGTCTTTCACATGAAGTAAGTTTAGACTGATTCTGTGTGTCCTCAAGAGATTGAATAATGGCAGATAAATTTCAGCTCAATATGAGTGAATTAATATACTAGTCCATAGGAGAATATGTGGTAAAGCATTTTTATTTGTCTTTAGGAGATCTCTGTAGCTTTTTTTTTTTTTTTTGCTGAAATTATACCCTTCAACATAAAAAGATAAAAATAATACTGAACATTGGCAAAATCACCTATGATTAGTAGAGTTTACTGGTGTTATCTGTTTTCAAGACAAATGATAAAAATAATAGTGGAATTAAATGTTCTTACCAAGCTCCCTACCTCACCCCCGTCCCTGCTCCCCAAGAATATAGCTTTCTACAACCAATTGGGGATATTTAATGATAATGTTTTTGTTAAAATATATATACATAGACAAATATTCCCATGTACGGAAATGAGAATTAGTTCAGAATTAGTGTTAACTTTACCAAAACAAAGACAAACAAAACAAAACAAAACCTTACTCCTGGTTGATTTACGAATTTATTTATAAAGTAGATGCTTTTGTGGATTTAGAGTTGAGTTATCAAATTTTAAAATGTATCAATAATCCTCAGCCTTGTGTAAGCCGTTCCAGTTCCAGATGTCTATGTATCAATAGTTTCTCCTGGAATGTCTACACTAGAAAACACCGAAATAATGCAAATGTTTGGTTTTCACAGTCTTCTACTAAGAAGCACATGTAGGAAGTCTGGAGATAAAAACAATAATTAATAATTCCAACGTATGAGATTTATATATGGAATGTCACCGTTGTCTTTCTTTGACTTTTCTGGACACCACAACTCCCTGATTTCTGTACCCAGTTCCTACGCCTCTTCCTCACCAGGATAGAAATCAGATGCAAATAAAGCTTCTACTCTAGGAGAAATAAAGGAATATGGAGTAAAGGGAATAGGTTTCCTTTCTAAAATTTTGTTTTTCATTTCTTTTTCAGAGAAGGAATCACTCTTGTTTCAGGCAGGTTTGAAGGGTTGGAAATTCTCACTTGGTGATAGGAAACACACGGTTACATTTTCGCGGACAGGCGGGTCTGAGGCAAGGAGGGCTAAAGAAGAAGATTTTGTGTACCCTGCCCCCAAACGACTGCTTAGGCAGTAAGGATGGAAGAGCGCTGGGGTTTAGGGTGGTCAGAGTTGCATCAAGTCAATGTCTTTCCTGTCATGTTATACTGAGAAAACGGCGCTGGAAAAAGAGTGATGTCAGCCCCCTTTCTTACGCTTTACAGCCTCCAAAAACTAACTCTCTGTTTGTCTCACTCCCAACCCCTTCTCTCCAACTCCCTTCCTTGTTCTGCCCCTCCTTAGAGGTGTTAGCACAGACGAGTGCCGAGTGAGGAAACCAAGTCGTTGGATCGCTTTGCGCAAAATCCACTTCTCTCCCCTCCCTCCGCTCCAGCCTCTGGATCCCGCACAGCCCTCCTTCCCCTCCCCCCAGCGGTGTGGGGTTGACGATGTGTCTCTGTACTTCTAAGGTGGGAGGGGGCTACAAGCAGAGGATACCGTCAGATGCTTAGCTCTCTCCTTCTGCCTGACTCTCCTCTCTGGCTCCGCCAGGGTTGGTCTATAAGAAATAGCCGGAGCTGTGGCAGTGGCGAGAGGAAGCAGCGGAGGCGCGTAGACCCTGAAAGTCCGGGTGCTCGCGGTTACTCGCAACGCGGTCCCAGCCGGCCGGTCGTCAGCACCATGGACAGCAGCAGCGTCCCCAAGAACGCCAGCAATTGCACTGATCCCTTCACGCACTCTTCAAGTTGCTCCCCGGGACCCAGCCCTAGTTCCTGGGTCAACTTCTCCCACTTAGAAGGCAACCTGTCCGACCCATGCGGTCCGAACCGCACCGAGCTGGGCGGCAGCGACAGCCTGTGCCCTTCGACCGGCAGTCCTTCCATGATCACGGCCATCACCATCATGGCCCTCTACTCCATTGTGTGCGTGGTGGGTCTCTTCGGAAACTTCCTGGTCATGTATGTGATTGTCAGGTAAGGAAGGCTACAGGGCTCCGAGTGTAGATTTCAGTGGCTAATAGGGGCATAAAGGGTGTCCGGCGGGAGGGTGAGAAAAGGGAGGTGAACAGGGGAGAGTATGGAGGTGACAGTGGATGGAATGGTTGCTGTTTGAGTACAAAATCCTACTTTTCTATTCTTCGCTCCGTTGATAAAGACATAATCCAAAATTTTGGGAACGGAGAAGTTGCTCTGGTAAAACTATAAAGCTCTGGCAAAAAAAAAAAAAAGTCTCTCTTACAGCTTGCTTATACTGAGCCAAGAGGGCTCTTAGCTCTTGAGCACAGTGTCCCACAGTCCCTTCCAAAGGAGCTGTAGAAACAATAATTTGTGAATAATGGAAGAGAAATTCTAGTTATTTTACCCCTAATTGGGGGGAGGAGGGGCAGGTTTCCTGCTCAGTTCTTTTCAGAGATGAACCTTGGCAACTTTCCTACTCCTGCTGGCGCCAGGGTATTTTGCTGCACCACTGGCCCACCTTCCTCTTCCTTGGTCATAGCAGCCCTTATTCCACTCTTTCTTCCATCCTGAGGCCACACTCATAGAGGAAGTTTTTCTGGTGTCTTTCCACAGTAAATAGTGTCGTTTTGCTGTAACAAACATGACAGCTGTGTTGCCTAGACCAGTTTGCAGTTGGCAGCTGCAGACCTGCTAGGAGAGTCACAAACTGAATGGGGATAGGTAGGGTGGTTCAGAACTGCAGGACATGACAGTTTTTCAATGCCTCCAAAAGCTGAAACTAGTTAGAAGTGGCCAAAGGCAGCATAATTCTGGATTATAAACTATTACATAAGAAGTTGTAATGGTTGCTCTGGAAAAATTAAGAAGTGTCTCTATCCAATGAAATTGTTTCAAGAGAGTTCGTGGCCCACTTTCTATTTGCCCAGATGTTCCAGGTTTATCTGGCAAAGAGTGTGCAAACTCTCATCATTGAGATTGATGTAAATACATTGTGTTAGTGTCGATGTGCATATTCAAATCCTACATGTTAATATGGAATACTATATTCTCACTTTTGTTGAAGTAGATAATTATGTTAATACTTTAAAATGGCTCCTGATTTAGGATTTTCTTTCTACTAGGGGTTCTATGTATGTAGCAAGCATGGCATTTTCATATTTGGCTACAATATTGGCTTCATCTACTCAGCAAGTATTGCAGGTTTCCATGGAGCTCTTTAATCATTTAACGATCATTTTCTCCATTATGCTTCCATTATCAATGTGCTGCAAGTTGCTTATCAATTCTTTCTACTTTGATGTACGATTTCTTTAATTAATGATTGTTAACGAGTAAAACTAATTTTCCTGATCTTTTGATGAGGAATAAGATAAGTAGTTTCTCTGAGAAAAGAGCACCATCTATTGCAAAGAAGGCTAACAACAAAAGGAAAAATGCAGGGAGAAAATCAATGGAAGAATTTATTTTTTAAAACATTACTTTATGTAATTCAATATAAAGCTTCATATCAAAGATAAAAACTGTCTCTTTAGCATTTATGATAATAAAAATAACAATTAAAGGTCTGCCTCATGAAGAGAAAATGTTTCTCATTTCTCCTAAGAAAATTCATAGCATCATGAGTTTATAGAGCTAGAAGGGAAACTAGAGCTTTTCTAGGCTAGGTGATTAAAATGTGGCAGAGAAAATATAAATGATTTCTCCAAGGACAGATAATTCATTAGTTCAGTACCATGGAATTGCTCTTAGCCAATATAGTTTTGTGTTTATTAGAGTGGCAAATCATGATTTGAGTTAATTCAACTAGAAGATTGACAGAGTAGGTTTAGATAATAATGTGGAAATAATAAATCAGTCCAAATTTATGTCTGTAATCCTGGATAATGAAGGATAAATAGAAATTACCAAACCATCTTGAACCCTGCCATCTCAAACATAATCTTTTATGCTCTGTTATTGCTTCTCTTGGTATTTTCCTTCCTCACTTTTCTGCTCTCTAGTTTATGCTTTTCTATAAAGTGAGAGCCAACAGAGCAGCAGCTGGCTGTGAAATAAGCAGATTGGTTTTATTCTAGTGTTTAAGAGATTACTACTTGAGTGAGTTTGTTCTAAAGGCATTAAAATGTAAAACCTCTGAACTTTTGATGACTTGGAAAAGGATGGTGACACTGTCTCTGAGAACATGATATTATGCTTTACTTTTCTGTGCTTAAAGTTTTAACAAAATACATTCACTTTTTTTATACAACAGAAACTAACCCAACATTGTACAGCAATTATACTCCAATAAACGTGTTAAAAGAAGATTAAAAAAAGGGCACCCCAAACACCCACCTGTGGCAAGCCAGGTGTTTAATTCCAAGGTCAGGTAATCCTCTGGGTATATGACTGTGAAACAGAAAAATAGTTCAGTGACAAATGAAGAGATGAGGAAAGCCTCTGGGGAGTGAAGAAACTATATCTATTTAGCTGAGAAATTTAACTGGACTGTCTCCAGGCTGTGGTTATTTCACTACAAAATGATCAGTTCAGGGACATTATTGCCTCTGTTAGAAAGATGAATATAATGCTGCATCTATTAAAGTACTGAGGTGAAACGCTTACTTCCTGCAATTATTTAAAATTCAACAAATACTTTTGAATTTTCAAGTAGTTACGGTTTTCTAACCAGATTAAGATTACATTTATTAGAATGTCTTAACACATTGAGTGAACCATGAGGTCCGATGACTATGGCAACAAAAAACAACAACAAAAACAACAGGTAATATAGATGCCATGAATGATTAATGATTTTCAGTTCTGTATCTTAACTCCACCATCATCATAACTTCATCAACAACATTATTAAATAATATAACTTAAGTAACATTCTTACACAGTGCTGTTCTAAGGAACATAAGGGAGGAAAAGAGATGCTGCTACATGATCTAAAGTTTTAAAATTCAGATGTTAAATGATAGACTGTTATAACTGTTCATTATCTGAAAGCTTTTTTGGTTTTAAAGTACTTGCATGGTAACTATATATTAAAAATTACCACAGCTATTCTGGAAAAATAAGGCGATAAAATATTACAATATGTGGCAATCATTTAAAATGGGATAATAGTATATTATTGGCAAGAAGGTTTTAAAGAAAAAAAATCAATCAAAATAATACACAAAGTTATAGCCACCAGGAGTGTTTCACTTATTGAAAATATTTGACCAAAGTATAGAATTAACCATAACTCTAAAAACTGATATAGTCCCAGATGTATTTATTTTGTGAGTTTTTTTTAAAGAGATTTGTCCATTTAGTTATGGTCTATGCAGACACTATTGGAAAAAGTAAAGGGTTAGAAACTGTTAGATCTCTGGGGGCTATGTAAGCCATCCTTCCAAATAAAGTTCCAATGAAGAGTGCCAAATTATATGGCCTTCTTTTTTAAGATTATTTCTTAACTTGACGAGATGAATTCTCAATATTAGTTATCAGATAAGAGCATTTAAATATATGCAAGATGTTATTATCTTTGATTTCACTAAGAAGTATTTCTAATTTTAAAACATGTCCTATGATCTCTGTGTATTAAATATTATTAAATATTTGATTCAGGTTTAAAGTACAGAATGATCAGTGGAGAGCTCCTAGTAACATCTATCACAATGTGAACTGTAACTGCTGTTTCCCGTACAGGTGCTAACTCTGTTGGGAACACCTCTTTCTCAGTGTGTCCTGACAACACTAAATGGTTTTTCATTTCCTCCATTGTAAGCTATGTCTCTGTCATTTGCATAGAGTTATCACTGAGTTTCTTTTCCTTCTCTCCTTTCATGAATGAGCTATCTTATACTTTATGAAATATTTCCAACATAAAGAAATGTATAGAGAATAATATGATTCTTCACCTTTAAACATTATATATAATTATGATAATTATAGATACCGCTAATAATATATAATATATGTTATATTATATATAATATATATTTATATATACATAATACATAATTGTATATAATTTACATATTTTATACAATACATAGTGTAATATATAATACATAATTGTATATACATAATAATATATAATATATATAAGAAGCCACCTCTCTTCTCCCATTATACTCCCTCCCCTGAGACTATCACTATTGTAAATTTGGTGGTTATTATTCATATACATATTTTAAAATTTTTATTTCACATGTGTGTTTCCACAAATGAAGGGTAATCATTTAAACATGCTCTTCAAACTGCATATATTATTTATATTTTATATTAATGTTGATAGACATAATTTCACTATTTGCCCAGAGTTGTTCTAGTTCCAGCAGATCAAGGATAGAAACAAACGTCAAACAAAACAACATAAAAGCAAACAAACAAACAAAAACTCAGGTCATTACCTCTCCTATATCCTTTTACTTTATCTCTAAGGATGTGTTTTAAATTAATGTAAAGATTTCTTTGCGTTTTCCCATAGTGACAAATATTTCCATGTTACTTATCTACAATATTCAAAAAAATGTTTTCAGCAACTGCTGCAACAAATATATCTGTTCATGAATATAACCCAGGCATAATTTCTCCACTTCTAAGAAGGAAATAGAAATAATTTCTGACTACTTCAAAATGTCATTCAAGGTAAATACTGGCAATATTTACTTTGGGGTTTTGTAAGCCTTGGAGGACCCCTTACACATAAAAGCTGAAATGTTATTTCTTCTAGTAATGCACTTTAGTTATGAATTGAAACCAAATTGTTTCAGTCAGCAGGAAAAGATAAACTCATTTCAATAGATAATAGCTGATTCACTTTGTTATAAAGCAGAAACTAACACACCATTGTAAAGCAATTATACTCCAATAAAGATGTTAAAAAAAAGAATACATATTTCTTAAGAATCCTGTCTTATAACTTCTGTTCTAAATCTTAGCTATAGAATTGTCATCATATAAATTAAAACAAGTTGCTAAACACTAAAAAAAAAAAGTAGCATTTTAAAATATATTGATAAATATGAAGACTAAAT